TCCTCCGTCGGAAGTCCACATCAGTTCACTGTAGTGCAGCTTGAGAGCAACCGAACAATCGCATAGAATCGCCAACATCCTGCTTGGCACGACCTTTATCTTTGTAATGCCCAGCATATATCCACTCGCAATATCTTTGAATGGAATACCTTTATCTTTGTAATACCCAGTATATATATATATATGTATCCACCTGACCCAAAATAAATCCCATTCAGAAATCGCATGAAATCACTCGCTGAGATCCAATGGCCAGCAGCTTCACCCCGCAGACACGGCTGACGCACGAGGAGTTCGTCGAGGCAGTTTGAAGAAACGCACCGGAGGGTGTGTCGATTGCATTGGGGTGACAGTACGTGGTAAATGCCTTTTGTGATATCATGTGATATCAATGTGTGTTTGTATCAAATATGTTTTGGGAGGTGAGTTGAGTTGGCCATTTGCTTTGTTAGACTAGGGAGTTCGTGCTGAATTAGTCGCCATTGCCCATTTAACTGCCCATGTGGATGAGCATTTTGGACATTGCCTTTGGTTGGAGCTTGAAACAACCATCCAAGTTTTCACTTGTTGTATAAAGTGGATATGTTTGCAACCACACGGTGACTCTTAATCAATCTTCACTCCACAGTCTTGTCAGCAAAATATCATTGTTTTGTGTCATGAACGCCTGCTGTCGCTGTTCTTTTTCGGATGGTAGTAAACAGATGATTGATTCCCACCTCCTGCGAACCACTCAGCATCACGAACTCTTGTCATTTTTTAGTTCATTCCTTTTCAGCCGTGATGGATTGGGCATGATCCGAATCCGGACGCCTTCAGGTCCCACAGCGCACCTGTCTCGCCGAGACGTCGCGGGACCGGTCGGAGAGGCGCTCTTTGCGGTGCTTTCCTCGCTGGACAAGGACGGTGCCGATGCACAGGCGCCACCGGTCGACCGGAGGTTCCAATCAGGTCGACCGGTGTGAGACTGAAGTCTTGGACAGATTGGGGGTCCACTACTCAAGCATCCTGTTTTGGGGATTCCAGGTCCGTGCCCATCTACTCTGAAACCGCTGTAAATATCTTGATTGAGTGAAGTTCGCAACAGAATTGGCTGCAGAGTGATCATCTAGGATCATATCATGTTCATAATTCTACAGGACAACATAGGGAAAACCAACAATAATGTTTCAGCATGCTGCTTTGTTCCGGCTTTTTTTCGCGGGTGGTGTGGTAAATCCACACGGTCGCCCTCCAGACTCCAAGCAACAGAGGTTGAAGAGCCCTATGACATGACTTTTTTGGATCTTTTTGGGAGTATATCTCTTTCCACCGCACCCCAGTTTGGTCCCCTTGAACAGGGTCACTTAGACCTCTTAGAAAAGACTGTGTCAAAATCCACTTCTATTAGCCAGCAGACATTCACCTCTTTATTTTGGAAAAAAACAAACATCTATAGACCTGTTACTTTCTTTCCACCCCTCCGATGCAAACCGCGAGTTCCGCCCCCAAACGCACGCACGCAGACGCACGCAGACGCACGCAGACGCACGCAGACGCACG